AGAGGGGAACAGCAGAAAGCAGACGGACAGGAGCAAGGCCAGACCAACACCAGGCGGTGTGGTGTACAGGGAAGCAGCAAGACGAGACAGCGCTGACTCTTCCCTTGAGATGAGCATCTACTAGCGATACAGGAGTGAATGACCAATAAAATCCCATCATCTCTGCAGATGGCCTCTCATTTCTGAACTCCTGTGTCGGACACTCTTGGGGACATATGTCACCATCACACACCCGGCAGGTTCTTCTGGGTCTGACAATACCCTTGGCCAAGGCTACCCCAAGAGGGTGACACACACTCTGAAAACCCAGCCAGGACCGTGCCGAGCAGGACAAATTAAAGGGCGCAGTTGGTATTTACAGTTCCCTTTCCTGCCTACTTATTAGGCCTTGCATTTCCTAAAATCAAAAAATCCCACCTCCTGAGTTCCAAAATAAAACATATTTATGGTACATAATTAGGCTTTAATTAAGATCTCCTCTGGGTATGTGAGACAACATGCACTTCTAGCACATTCAAATAGGCAAATAGACGCGACCTATTATTTATGCTGTATAGAAAGCTGCCTATTAAACTCGGGCAGTGTTGGCTCTTGCAGCAAAGCTGTAATTCTTCCCATGATCCAAAGGGAAAAAGCAGCTTTCCCAAGAGGCATCTTGTGGCGGAATCTTGGCCCCTCTCTGGTCCTGGGGACAGCAGTCCAGGTGGGTAGCGCCGAGAGAGAGGTTCAGGGATATATTTTCCTGTCTGCATTTTCTACAGTCAAGTGCTGTGTCTGTGTATGGCAGGTGACGTGAGGAACTAGGCAGTGATAATGTGCATGGACTGGACATTGACGGTTGAGTGGACTTGGTTCTCAGTTGTCAGGGTCTTGTATAACTATGAGACTTCTATTTTTTTAAACCTTTCCTGATCGAATTATGAACCATTACCAATGACAGTTCCCTGGCAGTATCAAAAGAACGGAGGCAGATGCCTTTTATCAAAACAGCTGCTTGGTTTCTGGGCTCCTGGGTGCTGCGATACTGGAAGAAGGCATGAGCTATATGTTGTCCAGAACAAACTACGTGCTCCCCTAAATCCACTAGCAGACAAAATATGGAGTTTCCTGGAAAACAAGCTCTCCTCTGTGCGGTCAGATGAAGGGCCTGTCTCCCAATAGAGCTATGGCTTAGATTTCCTTCATAATTAATATATGCACCATACCATGGTAAGGTCTCATCATAGAAAGGGCCCAGAAGTCTGTTCATGTAGATGAAAGGTTTAAGAACCTGGTCTATATGGCATCTGGATCTCAATCTCTCTCTCCCTCTCCCTCTCTCTGTTTTTCGAGACAGGGTTTCTCTGTGTAGTTTTGGTGCCTGTCCTGGATCTCACTCTGTAGACCAGGTTGTCCTCGAACTCACAGTGATCTGCCTGCCACTGCCTCCCGAGTGCTGTGATTAAAGGCGTGCGCCACTGCCTAGCGCATCTGGAACTCTTAAATCTGTGTACATAAACTGTCAGTGAGGTTACCTCTTTGGCGACTGTAAGTATATGTGGCAGAGAAAACATCTCCTGTGGGTTTGCTTTCTTCTGGATTTCAAGGGCACTACAAAGCAGAATCGGGTGCAGCCATATTAGATCGTAGCCATGAAGGTCATGACTGAGAGATGTCTTACTCATTCTTGCGAAACCTTAAATTATCATATAGTTGAGATGCAGAGGTATTTGTTGAACAAATTATAATAAAAGGAGTTGCTATTTGCCTTTTGGATTTTTATTTTTTAAAAGAGGGCTTGTGAGAAAGAATCAAGAGGTATGCGGAAGCAAGAGCTGCTGAATCAATTATTCACCTGTGAAAGCTCCGAAACAATGCGTTTCAGCATTCGTGCGGAAATGACTTACAATTTCCCACTACTCGCGGTACTATATGCTTTATGAATGAAGCATCTGCCAGTTCTAATAGCTAGTAGACACCAGATACTAAATTGGCCCATGTATATATATTACTGCTAAATGTTACAGTAATCTAACAAGATAAGAATAACCCTATTTTACAGCTGCAGAAAATGAGGTTCAAATTGCCAAAGGGGGTGGGTGGGTTCCCCAATAGGCCTCATGAAACCATCTCTAGATGTTCAGTGTGTGTGTGTGTGTGTGTGTGT